AGAGTCGTCACAACCCTTCACCTCCTTGAGGATGGAAAGGAAAGAAAGGGGGAAGTCCTGGTAAGAGGAGGGGGGAAGGGAGGGAGGGGGAGGGGGAGGGGGAGGGCTGTTACAGCCCGTCGCTGCCATTGGAATAGAAGGGGAGAAGGAAGGGAGAGGGGGGGGGGCTGGGAAGGCTACATGGGCCCGACGGAGGGCGGAGGGCGGGGCGAGGAAGGAAATCCCCTCGGGATTGGTGGGCGCGGGATCGTGGGATGGGGGCATCCGTAGCCACCACGGCAACTTCAGTCAAGTGTGGTTGAGGGGCCTTGGCGGGGAGGGCGTTTGGGATTGTTGGGTTAGGGGTATTCCGATCGAACGCGACAACACGGTGTCGATCTCAAATAACGCATTAAAGGCTGGAATAATGGATAGAGTCTATTTTAACTCCTTCTGGAATCTAAACGGGGAAAATAAAACACCAATAATAAAAAAGGCAAAGATTAAACTGGCACGTCAATCCAGACAAAAGTACAGAAAGGAGCTTTTGTTCGCTCTTATAGTATTCAAGTTTTAAAAAAGTACACAACTGTGATAAAATGTATGGGTAAATGTGCTCCCAATACACAATCCACGTCACATTTTATGAAGAATAAAATTGGTGAACTATTTCACATTTTACGGAATGATCCTTCTCTCCCCTCACCCTTATAGATTAATAGATCCATTGCCATGAAGTTTTAAAAATATTCCATATAGCGTTAGAAAAATAAGGAATAGGGAGAAGTATGGCTTAAAAAAATTAATGCGCCTTTCACTGTTGACCCCCACATTTTTAATGATTCACTAATCGTCTTAATCTTTACCTTTATCAACTTCGTGTAAGTTGTTGACAGACGGCTCTTCGATAAGGCAAACGTGTGAGAAACAGCTAGGATCGTCCACAGGAAACGTTGGGAAATCCCACGACGAGGAAAAGGTTCGCAAAACACGCGCTTGAAGCTTGCAGGCCTCGGCGGCACTCATAATCAATGGCGACATATCCCCAAAAGACACGGTGGAATCGGGCGATTCTTGCTGGAAGCGCTGTTCTCTTCGCGCGCTCAAATCAGCAACACCGAGAGGATGACCCTCCTGCGCGGTGATTAAAATCGTTCCAACACACAAAAGCCCTTTGGACATCATTCCAATGAGAAATTCTCGCCACTGCTGCGCTGTCGCCAATGAGTTGGAATCGTGTTCAACGAAAACCACCTCCGGCGGTGGCATGCCTAAAGAAAAGGTAGAGTGCAAAAGCTCCTTTAAAGCCTGCAGCTGAATCAATTCGCATTGTTCGAAAATAGGAGCACCGTGGTTGAAAAGGAGGGCGCTGCGAGTCCATTCCAACGCAGCATGATCCGCCCCCACAACCACGACCTGCTTAGCCGTCATGACCGCATTTAGTGCGGCGGCGCCGCTGCGATCGTTAAAGCATAAAACCCGCTTTCCAGCGCTTATCTCCCGCAATAAATGACGCGCACGGCGGTGCGCGGGATTGATAAGAAGCCTATTTTCAAGGGTCGGCTGCCGGTTCGCTTTCGAAGGCGGCCATGGCAGCTGAACCCCACCTTCGACGTAGATATTCGGCAACGTCAAGGTTGGCCGGGTAAAGCTCAGCCGCGCCCGATCACCAAGGGTAGGGGAGTCTAAAAGAAGTTCCTCCGCCCGGTGTTCGAGCAGGAACTCCGAGACGGCGGGGAGCAGACGCTCTGCGAGCGCCGAGGTCGCGATCACGCGGAGAAAACTATCCGAAAACTGATCTATGAAAAGCCCGGGAAAGCCGTCCACAGCGCCGTTTACCATACGATAGGTATTTGTAAAACGGCATTGCTGGAGGTCCTGATGCCGTCGCTCGCGGAGATCGCGTAATCGGGCGGTGAAGAAGTCCTCACTAATCACCGGAAGCATTGCTGAAGGAGTTTGAGAGGCGGTGTGGAAGAGGTCGACTCGCCCCAGCTGAGGCTCGAACGCGCCAAGGGCAAGAAGCTTTTGGTCCTCCCGACGAACCTCGAGAATCTGCCCGGGTTGATATTCATGTTGGATGAAGTCGACGTTATCGTCTTGAAAATCAGAAAGCGAAAGAAACCCACGTCGACGCTGCGTTAGCTGATAATGCTCCTTGGCTTTAAGGCGAATCTGCGGGAATTTTTGTGCGGGCTGGATGCGATTGCCTAGAAGTGGTGATAGTAGCTTAGTATACATTTAAGCCCTATTTCATCAATCCTATCGAGAATCCTCAGCTGAAGGAGAAATGACAAGCAGTATGTTATCAAACGATTAAACGTTTTCTGAGCCACATAAATATATCTTTCTTTTCCCTCCTTCAAAAAACTGCGCGCCTTTTGGGTGTACTATATATAACAAGAAAAAATGGGAAGAAAAGAAAGGAATCTAGTGGTAAAAAAAGGGGAGGCAACTTAGTGTATGCCTACAAATCAAGAACACCAAGACAAAAAACACATGCCAACAGGACCAATTAAGAATATGAATTTCATGGTACAAACTTTAGGTTCACCTGAATTTAATCTGTGAAGAAAGGGTACATTTGAGTATAAAGAACTTCGATGCATAGAGAATAAATCATAAAAAATAGATAGCGAAAATGGCAAGTGCAGTATTTCCTATAAGGAACGGAAGCTGGACAGTTTAATCTCTACTGAACAAATAACGCGATTCACAAGTTTCCCCGACCATGATTTCATGAGAATTTTTATCTGAACGATCTCTACAGCGTGCATTGCGCTTAAACATCAGACGATCCGCAGGAATGCGATTCTGTGAGGAATAATCAAATGTAATCTCCTCATCCGGGAGAATATCACGCACAGCTCGCACAACAATACTCCGACTTTTCGCCGAAACCACCGCTGCTGCTGTGCAATGATGCTCATCAGCGTGATTTAGACTATCCAAACCAGGCGCATACACGCTAATTAAACGATCCCGCAGCGGGTTCTCACCAAAAAGAAGTGGGATCTGAAAAACACGCGCGCGGACGATGTACAACACCGCTAGAAGAACATCGTCAAATATGGATGGATTTGTGTCCATCAGGCGATATTCTTCCATTGACGCGTAGGTCAAACAAGCATCGCGCAAATTCCACGCGAGCTGCTCAAGGCAGGAATGCGCATTCGCCTCATCTCCAAGAGCCTGCTTGAAAAAACCCTCCAGGCCATAGGTGAGATAAAGCGGGATCGGCAGCGAGCGGACGTAAAGTTCCCCCACATCCATGCTAAAAGAGCTCCCCAAACGAAGCGCCGCGCGAGTTCGCGGCGGAATCGCCAACGCGGTGGTAAAAAAATACCGAAGGGCGATGCAAACCACCAACGCCGCCTCCACTGGCGTTAAACTCAGCGATACCACCGCAGGAGAACTTCCCTCGAGAGAGGCCGACGCGCTCAACGCCACGCTCCCTCTTTCTTCTTCTTCTGCATCCGTTTCCACTTCTCCATTCTCTCCGTTTTTTCTTCCCTTTACGACGTCCGGCGAGAGCCGGCGAAGCCACGTCCAAAATTCCGGCAGCAGCGCGATCTGGCGGTTCTCGCGGCGCAATTGGCGAAAATCGCCCCTTTCGTGTGATGACCCGCCGCCCTTAAAAGAGGGAAAAGGGCCCTGCGGGGGAAGACCGTGCGGGAAGTAGGCGTAGGGGAGGGGGATGGTGAGAATGGCGGAACCGCGGGGGATTCGGCGCCGCGGAAAGACCCCTCGCAGGCCGTCGGACGCGCGCGCCCTCTGCCGTAACGCGGGAAAGAACGTCGCGCCGTGAATTCGGTGAAAAAGGGACATGAACAGCTCGTGCGAACTATCTTTTTTTTTTTGAATTTGTATTGTGAATTAATAGAAAGTGGAGAAATAAAAAAAAAGAGCTCAACTAATAACTCAGAGATGATCACAGGTGCCAATTGTTGGGGTTTGCGATAGTTTAGAATAGGACTGATGGAAGAGGAGTGTGTTTGGTGAAAAACTACCCATATACTCAAAGATTAAATAGCAAAGATAAGGAAAGTGAAATAGGTATGCACAACACTCAAATTATTTCGTAAATTAAAAACAATTTAGTTACTATCTCGCATGTACTGGTAGTAAAATGTTAATGAACTAAAAGTAATCATCTTACTATTGCACTACTGCTTTACACACTTTCATATTTTAAGTTAATCTAATTTAAGGTTTTAGGAGTGAATTAAAATTGTAAAGATAGTTACTCCATTTGTTGAGTTCGTTTTCCCCTTATTTGAATAAAAATTAAAAGTGTAAAAAGAAATAAATGGAGGTGAAAATGAATTTATAATGATCAATAGTGATATAAAATAAACATTCCGCGCATACAGATTATTTTGATGCATGCATTTTTCTCGAGTATAGAAAAGATTTTAGTTTGCTGGTAAAGTAGGTCACTTTATAAAAACCAGCAAATAAATTCCTATCAGTATAGCTAAACATAGGAATAATCTAATTGTAATCGCATGCAGCGTTCTTGCTTAATTTTGACAACGTTAGTGCACTACAATTAGATTCATTCCTTAGTGCGTAAGGGAACGAGATAATAGCCACAGATTTGCATCAAAAAGAGCGCAGACAACGGTGAGGGCAGTCCCATACCCCGCATTGAACACAGCGTTTTGTACTTCCCTTCCACTGAACTGCTCATTCATGATCAAACGAGAGCATTGAGTCGATTTTATGCTTACCATGGGAGAGGAAAAAAAAATTGGTCATACCAAGTCAAGGCTATCCCAGTCTTAAGGATTTGTTGTTGTGCATTTTTTTCTAGTGCCAATGTGTCTTTAATGAGTCCTCTTGTTTTTTTAGACTCGCGTGGAAAAGCAAGAAAATGTTATGACAACTTTTATGAAAAAAAAAGTTGCATATCAAAAGATCTCTTTCACTGGAAGGCTTCTAGAAGATAAATCAAAGGGAAATATTGAAATCTGAGCAACCAAAACAAAATCTGTGATTCAAATCTTATAATGGTCTTCTAAAATCAATAATTAGATGGAATAAAAATAATTGTCACCAATGTAAGCGATGGCCATATTATGTACTTCCTTTTTATTAATATAAATAGGATGAACTATCTAAATATCAGCAACTTAGATAATTGGTATCTATATTAACTATAAGAAAGAGTAAAAATATTTTTATAAGCAAAAGGCGCTACAGATTATTTCACATAAGAAATATGAAATTTTAAAAAAGTACTATTGAAATCAATTTCATAATTGTTTGTAATAACAGTATTGCATTGAAGCAATTGATAATTATGGATGGAGTTGCATAAGAAAAATGAGGCATGAAGGATGAGGGGGAAAGGAGTATATATATGTATCCATACATACTGCTTTCTTCATTTCAATGTTCTAGAATACTGTTTATTTCACCTTTTTAAACTGTGTAATAGACATTAAGGAACTCCAGGAGAATGTCGTTTATGATACCCCGATCAGGAATTCGTTGCACCGTCCCATATATTGATACGCCCGAGGCGTTTATTGTTACCTTTTTACCCTCTGAGAAAGATTTCGCCTGAGCACTTAATACCCGATGTGTGCACTCCCATAGATCCTCGACAAATTTTAGGGCAACTCCCTTACGAGTGTGAAGAAGGGTAACGCTGCACTGCAGACCGGATGGGAACTGCAGCCGATTGAAAACCCAACCGCGCTTGTCAAGCTCCTTTCCGAGCTCAAAGATGTCTAGAATATCACTTGTGAAGGCAAACACGCTTGCGACAGGGTCGCCGATCAGGCGCAGGGACGGGATATTAGAAACCCCCTTGGTCATTGTCTCGCGCGCCTCCATGATTTCTGCGCAGCACTGCACATAGCCCTCGCGGCCCATTCGCACCATCGCCGCCCAGGTCCCTGCGATCACGTTCCCAGGCTTCGACCCCGAGACCGCCGGGGAGCAGTACATCCCCCCCATCCAGTCCGTAATGCAGCAGAACTGAAACGAGCGGAGCTCTTTGGTGCGGTAGAGCACCGTTGAGGTGCCTTTGGGGGAGTAGCCGTACTTGTGCGTGTCACAGGAGATGGAGGTCACGCCGGGGTGTCGAAAGTCCACCAC